TGACCCATGTCACTTTAGTTTTGTGTGTATTTCACTGTACATAAATTTTATTTCAATAAAATGCATTTTAAAAAAAGTAAAGTCACTATCTCAAGTCTGATTTGTAGTATACGCCTAAAAGCTTTTTTTTTTCCCTTAAGGTACCCCCTGTCCACAAAGAGATACATAAAAATTTCTGAACAAATATGCCTTTCTGATGGAAGAGGGAGCTTTACAAAATGAAAATCTGACCCAGTCATTTCTCTATTAAGATTCTTTCACCAGCACATTCATTCAACAAATATTTCCTGAGCAGTTACCATGAAACAGGCACTGCCCGTCAGCAGGGATATAGAGGTCCCCGCCTTCAAGGAGTTAACACAATTAGGAATTTAAAAAAAAAATGCAGTATGATAAGTGTTATAACATAAGAAACAATTTTTATTGATACGATTTTGCTTTATTTCCTTGGCTACAAATATTTGCCACTAAACCCAAATACCAGATTTTGTAACCCACAGATTCCTAAGTAAGATGATAGGTCAACTCTCATGCCTGGAATTCAAAATCATTGTTGCACTGAGAAATTTCACTACTGATAAATTCACAAGTGTGTTGAACATGTGAATAAAGCACATAAAGGAAAAAAGACCAAAAACTATCCTATTTCAATTGGTATAAATTTAACCCACCTCATATTGAGTATCATTTTTATTTAAAGCTCAGGTAAACAAAACTGAGACATTTTTCACAAATCTCACAACGGTATGTTTCACTTTAACTATCCATGGATATTTTATAACAAAGCAAATCATAAACTTTTTCATAAATACCTTAGCGAACACTTTCATAGTATATCCCAAGTACTGCACTCTAGGATCAATAGCTGCATAAGTAGCTAGCATTCTTGTGTTATGCTGAGCCTAAAAAATAATTACATGTTTGAGAGCATTTCAAATTTAAATGTATAGCAAATCAGATAAAAAGATACAATACACCAAATACAATATACATAAACCTAAATCTCAAAATACCTGTAAACAACTCAAACAAAAACTAATCTTCAATCTGAAGGAAATACCAAGATGGTTAGTATTTTTTTCTTAGTACTACTCAAATATGAAGATACGAAGAAAAAAAAATATGAAGAACAGCATCAGGATGAGAGGAAGATTCATTAAAAACCTGTAATATGCAGAGGACACAATCTTGCTTGCTGAAAGTAAAGAGGATTTGAAGCACTTACTAATGATGATGAAAGATTATTACCTTTAGTATGGATTACACTTCAACATTAAGAAAACAAAAATCCTCACAAATGGGCCAATGAGCAACATCATAATAAATGGAGAAAAGATTCAAATTATCAAGGATTTCATTTTACTTAGATCTATAATCATTGTCCATTGGAAGCAGCAGTCAAGAACTCAATGTACTGTAATAGACAAATCTGTCTAAAGACGTCTTTAAATTTTTAAAAGCAAAAATGTCACTTGGAAGGCTAAGGTGTACCTGACCCAAGCCATCATATGCATGTGAAAGCTGAACAAAGAATAAGGAAGATCTGAGGTGAACATTTACACTAAGTAGATACACTCCTTGGAGAGATCAATCATGGGAGAATAGAAGGGCTGTGTATGCACAGGGATATAGCTCCAGGGGCAGGAGTGGATGGAGGTTGGACACAGGGAAGAGGTAACTATGGGGAGGAAGTGGGAGGGGAGCTGTTGCATCGTGGTAAATTGTTGACAATATCATGAGACAAAAATACATGTGAACTGCTATATGGAAAGTGAATTTTCTCTGTAAACTTTCACCCAAATCACAATTTAAAAAAAAGAATAAGGAAGATCGAAGAAGAATTGATGCTATTGACAATGAATACTGAATATACCATGGATGGCCATAACAATAAACAAATTTGTCTTGGAAGAAGTACAGCCAGAATACTCCTTATAAGTGAGGATGGCCAGACTTTGTCTCTCCTACGTTGGACATGTTATCAGGATGTACCGGTCCCTGAACAAGAATATCATGCTTGGTAAAGTAGAGGGTCAGGGATAAAGAGGAAGACCCTCAAGAAGATGGACTGACACTGTGGCTGCAATAACGGGCTCAAATAGCAACAATTGTGAGGATGACACCCGATTGGGCAATGTTTCATTCTGCTGTACACAGGGTCACTATGAGTTAGAAATGACTTGACAGCACCTAACAAAAATACACACATTTAAAAGTTTTAATTATAAAGATATGTAGTCAATCATCTGTAAATTTTTCAAATGACATGTGTTAACTACATTCAGAAAAGTGAAACTTTCTGACCTATTCATAAAGAGAAACTTACCAATGTATTATATAAACTGATATCACCTTCTAATCCACTTCGTCTGTGTTCAAATTTCACTATAGGCACTTTGGCAGTAGTTATAGGCAAAATGTTTCTTAAACCTGATTAAAAAAAAAAATTAGTAGGTTAAATAATTTTCATAATGCTAAAAAATATTTTCTTTTGCTTTAAAAGGTTAATTAAAAATTTATACCTGGATGTCTCTTAAGAATTTTTGCCAAATTTTCTATTATTTCCTTAGAATTTAATTTCTAAAAAAAAAAAAAAAAAAAGCAATAATAAATTAAGAATACTTTGTCTGACTCAATATGACCTTGTGCAAATTACACTTTAAACTAGGCATTTAATATTAGCATTTAAAATTTCCAGCCATAAAGCTCTATTACCTTGACACTCAAAGAAGATGGTCAACATAGTAGCAGCAGCATCAGGAAATTTGATACAATTGCAAAATCTCAGGCCCCACCTCAGTCTAGTGAATCATAATCTACCTTTAACAAGATCCTCCAGGAAATTCACACACACTTTGAAGTTTGAGAAGTACAAAGGAGAATAATTTTCAATGTGTGAATAAACAACTAGAGATAGGTTCAGTAAGGGCAAAACATTGCAGTGATTAAGAACACAGGCTCTGAATTTAGACAAACTTGGATTCAAATCTTGAACTAAGTATTAACTAGCTGTGTGAATCTGAAAATCCAAAAACCAAACCCAGTACCATGAAGTTGATTCTGACACATAGCAATCCTTTAGGACAGAGTAGAACTGCCCCATAACGTTTCCAAGGCTGTAAATCTTTATGGAAGCAGACTGCCTCATCTTTCTCTCCCAGAACAGCTGGTGGTTTCAAATCACTGACCTTTTAGTTAGCAGCCTGATGCTTTAAACACTATGCCAAGAAATCCTTCATTCCTCTGAGCCTGACACTACAATCACAATAATCATAAACTCCTGCCATATATAGTTGTTAGGAAGATTGCATGGCACAAATAAAGTATTCAGCAGCATGCCTGGCACAAAGCATGCCCTTAAAATTTGTGAGCTATTTATTATTATCATCATGTTGATAAAGAAAGCTAATCCTACTGTTACTAGCGCACCTAACTCTTTAAAGAAATTCTTACCTCTGCAAATGTGTTATTTTTTAAAAACTACCACAGAAACAGCAGAGTTGGTATGATAATGATAATCATAATACAAGGAACAGGAAGAATAATGACCTTATAAATTAACTGGATTAAGGTGAAGGGTACATACATCAAATCTTCACACTTATTATTAAAATCACTTTTATGTATCCCCAATATATAGATAAAAGAGAGCAATAGCCAATGCAGCTTAGAATGAGGATTTCAAGGTATACAATTTATGCTAAATTATAAATTTCATTTATGAATAATCTGAAAAAAAATAACATATTCTTTTTCATGGTTTAAACATCCAATGCAAATGTAAAGATTATAATATACAAACCTTTAGTGATTAAAAGTCTGATTATTAAATTTTACAGAGAAGATATATAAAACTATAACCTCCTCCCTGGGTAAAAATCATTTCCTATTCCCGCAATTCTTGCTCTTCAAAACAGAGAGGGGATTAACCTCTTTCCAGTAGGTGGCACAAACCAGAAGTTAGTTAAGGAGAACAAAGAAAAAAGTATCTGTAATTTTTCAGTTTCTTTATAAAACAAGATGTTAATTAAAGCCATAAGCAATTCCTTGGACCCAGAAATAAGGATCTATAATGCTGCCATTTCTACTCCAGGTCTAACAATTCAAAAATCACTCTTTTAAAGAACTATTTCAGAAATACACAGGTACACTAATCTGCTGAATTGTTTTATAATGTAACAGAGGCTATATATACTGATACCACTACAGATGACAGAAGCTTGGCCTCACCCCCATCTTGCAAGCAGTCCCTATTTTGAAACATAAACATCAACATAGGTATATCCTGCTTTCTGAAAGTTCACTTTATGCCACTGTGCTTTTATAAAAGACCTACAATACCTATTTTCACTAATTGAAAGAAATCTGAAGAGGATTTTCATTTTTACAAAAAAAAAAAAAAAAAGGTGAAAAGCAAAACTAGCATTCAGCGTTTCTTTCGCAGCAAGCCGTTAAAGAGGTAGTGCGTACCTCTAGCAGCTAGTGTGGCACAGCCAAGCTCCTTCACAGAAATTACACTCAGCATCTCGCATCAAACTGTCATCGTTCTTACCTGTGTCTATGTTAGTTTACTTGAGGTTTTGTGTGTTACTTGGCATGATTTTTTTGGTGGATTATTTTTGGGGTCTGGTAACACTCGAAAATTTTTCCCATGTAAATTAACGTTAATTGCTTTTTCACTTTACACCATTTTGGCTTAGGAAACGTTTCATAGGAATGCCCTGCTTTCAAATAGCAGGGGAAACCTGTAACTATCCTGGAAAATGACTGAGCAATTATAGGGCCTCCCTGCTTTTCTACTTGCTGCTAGGAAGGTCTGGGACACTTCTTCCCTTTCCAATCAGTCCCTTTCTCTATGGAACTTAGACAATCTCACTCCCACTGAAGACCTGGTACACAAAGGAATGCATAATTTCCCATTCTCACTGCTGAGACTACACTCGGGGAAGGTCTGTTCCTGGCATCTTATGGTGGAACTCAGAAAGTTTTTCATTTCAGAAAGTAGTGGTTAGATTCTACAGTACTATTAGTACTATATTTCAGCTACATTATGGGTTAAATAAATTATAGAGAGGCAGTGAGATATAACGGAAAGAGCATGGGCTCTGGAGTCAGACAGACCTGGGTACGAATTCCGGCTCCAACACTTACTATATATAGCTGGGCAAGTCACTTTATCTCTTAAAGCCTCAGTATCCTCATCTGTAACATGGGGGAAATAATACTTACCTAGAAGGTGGTTTTAAGAATGAAGTGAGATAATGTATGTAAAAGTGTAGGCTGGGAACTCAATAAATGTTAGTTTCCCTTCCCACCCAAAATGAGCTTCTAAAAGCTCTCCTAGAAATCTATGGATAATTTGTAACATTGCTTCTATGTTACAAATGTTCTGAGTACCCAAAAACTATAATTACTTTTTAGAATAAAACCCATTTATAAATTAGATGGGCATCTGCATTTTCTATCTATAGTTATACAAGATATCATCTAGTGGAAGAGATATGGTAGGACAGAGTATGTGAGATCGGTGTTCACAACTGGACTGAAGCATCAATTCTCATTAATGAAAAAATTCCAACTCTAGTATGGCAACATTTTCCCACAAATCATTACAAAGCATTTGTAACTCTCAGTGACATGGCTTTTACATTAAAAAATTACTGAAACAGTAATTTTAACATTTTAATGTCTTCTACATTGACAATGCTAATACTTTTAACATTTCAAACACTGCTATTGCTAGTAGTACATTGATACAAAGAACACCACCATATATTTTACCAGTAGCACATGAGAAACTGAAAATAGATCCATCATTGGAATAAAATAACTTCCAAATCCCTCTCCAAATACTCTTACCTCTGCATTTTCATGGCCTTCCAGGGTCATACAAATATCCAGATCACTATCACGAAATCCAAATCCATTCTTAGAAGAGCCAAATAAACACAATCTTGCTTTTTCTAAGCAAAGAAAAACAAAAGTCAAAAGTCTTATAATTGGTAGGAAAGAGGAGTCTTCTATTATCTATTAATGGTCTAACACAAGGTAATCTTGTCCTATAGTTTAAATTACCTACCTATCACTGGAGATAAACTGAGAAATTCCAAAACACCCATCTCAAGCTTAGATCTTTTGTCTAAATTCTTATATGCATGTTATCTAACTGCCTTTTTCATGTTTCTATACGCATCATAAATTCAACCATGTCAAAAACTAAATCAATCAACTTCACCCCAAACCTACCAGGAGTCCCTGGATGGTATAAACTGTTAAGCACCCAACTACTAACTGAAAAGTTAGCAGTTGGCACTCACCTAGAGACACTCTGGAAGAAAGGCTTGGCGATCTCCTTCCAAAAGGTCACAGTCATCATAATCCTTTGGAGTACAGTTCTACTCTGCACACATGGGGTCACTATGAGTTCGAATCAACTCAAGGGCAACTGTTTTGAGTTTTCATTTCTCAGTGAACAATTCCATCATCTACATCATCTACTCAGTGGCTTAAGTCAGAAATATGGGTGCTGTCCTTAACTAACTCCTCTCAACTTCCACATCCAGTCATCAAGTCCTTTAGCCCCTTACAAATAAACTATCTGTTCAATTGATCTAAGGAGTCCTAATAGCACAGTCATTAAGCACTCAGCTGTTATCTGAAAGGTTGGTGGTTCAAACCCACTAGCTACTCTGTGGTGGAAAGATGTGACAGTCTGCTTCTGTAAACATTTACAGCCTTGGAAACCCTACAGGGACAGTTCTACTCTATGTTATATGGTGGCTATGAGCTGGAATTGACTTGATGGCAACAGATTTGTTTTTTGTTTTTAGTCTCAGTATCACTAGAAAAATTAAGATCGATATTTGGAAATACATCTCTTGGAAATAAACTGTTCTTTTAAGGCACAATTCAAGTAATTTTATAAACATAACCTTATTCTTCTCCCAAAAGTGAGCAATCAGGAGCTCTTGTAGTGCAATAATTAAGTGCTCTCAGGTACTAACCACAAGGTCAGTGGTTCAAACTCATCACCTAACAATTTCACAGTAGAAGAGACCTGATGATGTGCTTCCACAAAGATTACAGCCCCTGTGGGTCTGTTCTACTTTGTCTTATAGGGTCACTAGGAGCCAGAAGCAACTCAATGGTACACAACAAGCTCAATTAAAAAAAAAAAAAAAAAAAAAAAGTGATCAATCTACTTGACATAAATTATGAGTTATCTCTTCATAGTGTCATTCACTAACAACTTCAAATACGCTGTACCTAAAAGTATTAGATTTTCTCTATTAATTCTTAAGTAGACTACTCATTTAGATAACAAATTCTATATTTTCAAAATTTAAGCCTCGTCAACCCAAGTAGGGGTCACTATGAGTCAGGTCTGACTTGATGGCACATAACAACAACAACATACAATTTTGAGGTCTACTTAAAATTTCCATGAATACTGACAAGCATAAAAGAAGTTATGCTCATCAGTAAATAAAAATAATCTTGACTTTAACATAACAAGGATTCAGATTTGGTCAAAACTTTATACACTAACAAATATAATTTAAAAAAAAAACCAAAAAGCCTAGAAGCCTTAGCATATAACAGATCTTTTAAAAGTAGAAATTCATTCTGATTATAAAACAGCTGTTCATCTTTTTCTAAAACAAGTGGCCACAGAACTTGATTCCTAACTGCCATGCCCAAAACCTTTTCCTCCCTCTACATTTTTTTTCGGTTTTCTTTTTTTTTTTTTTTTTGCCATCTCAGTTAACAGCACCATCCAACTACTGGGGTTAAAAACCTTGAAACCATTCTTTCTTTCTCTCATCTCTCATATGTAATGTATCAACAAGTCTTGTCAGTTCTAACTTCAAAATATATAAAATCTGGCCATTTCTTATGTATTCCTCTGAAACGAATCTACTCAAAATCACTATTGTATCTCATTTAGACTTAAGCAACACCCTCCTAAATGTTTTGGTTGCCTCTGCTCTCATGACCCTACACTTTATTCTGTTAAATCATGTCACTTTTCTGCAAAATATGAAACAAAACAAACTCCAAAAGCCTCATTAGATACTCAGAATAAAAGCCCTTATACCATTTATAAGGTCCCAATGATCCAATCCAAACCTCTACGACCTTATCTTTTTACTACCCTTTCCCTCACTCACTCCACTCCACTCCAGCCACACTGAACTCCTGGCTGTTATTCAAAAACAGCAAGGATAATATAGTCTTGAGGGTCTTCATCATCTCCATTCTTTCTCACTAGAATGTTCCTTCACTGGATATTCACATAATTTGCTCTATTATGTCCTTCAAGGCTCTACTCAAATGTGACCTTATCAGAGAGACCTGACCTACACTCCCATCACTGCTGTCCTCTTATCTCTTGTACATTTCTTCATAGCACTTATTGATACCTGACATTACATTATAGGCTTAAATAGTAGTCAACTCTCCCATTGGAATATAAGGTTCGTGAGAACAGGTTTTACCTGTCTTATTAGCACTGTATCTAACACATAACATTCAATAAACATATTTTAAAATACATGAACAAAACTCAAGACCAGGGAACTACAAAAGCCATAGCAATTAAGTTTTACCCTATGACATACCATCATATTCTTTTTGAATAAACTTTTCCAAACCAATTAAAATTTGCTCCCTGTTGTGTTGTTCAGAGAAAGGTGGTGATAACTCATCTAAGTAAAAAAAAAAAAAAAAAAAGAGAGAGAGAGAGAGAAAAAGTAAGAAAAGAATCTGAAAACATCTTCAATTTTTTACCCTAATTTTTTTTTTTTTTAACAGTTTCTTCACTATTTGTTGAATTTTCTGATTTTAAAACCATGTTACTGGGGAAGGGAAGAGGGGCAGCATAAAATAATCTATAAATAACTATGTACATTTTACACAATCATCTTCCTTATGAACACCAACATATATTTACTTCTTCAAACTATCTTCAACAGTTTTATTCAGACATTTCACTCTCCCCAATAACCTTGACAGTTTATTCCTCCTTGTGGTACAGTGAATTACTCAATATAGTCCTTCTAGCCATAGTCTTTGTAACTCCCTCCAAATGACTGGATGTACTATGCAAATGTGAAGTGATTGCTGCCCACCACGAGGATTAGATAAATTTCTAATAATGTAAATAATGTAAATAAGGTAGGTGCATTGCACCCTTGTAGGGTAGGACCAGGCAAATAAGGTGTATGGAACCCTAACATGGGAATTGGTCAGTTTTGCATCCCCTGTCTTAAAATGAGCCATTCCAGATGTGGGAAGGGGAGAATCTCGCTACCATCCAGAAAGAAGGCCAGGAGCGTAGCACGTCCTTTACATCTGAGATCCCTGAGCTGAATCTCCTCAATCCAAAAGACAGAGCTGTAACACTGCTGAAATGGTGAGACACGGAAGGAGACATCACAGTGGGCTTCCAGATTCATACAGATCCTTCAGGCAGGAGACATACTGGTGGAATCAGATGCCTCTGGGCACTTATCAGCAGAGCTAGAAGAGCTTTGTAACACCTGCCAAGCAGGGCAAAGGCCAAGGGAGCCGTGAGGTCCAAAGAGAGGCCTGCCTGTAGTATAGCTGAGAAGAGGTTGAACTGATTGAAGAACTGTATCCTGAGTTATTTCTGATTCTGAATTATAACCTGTTACTTGCCTAAGAAACCCCATTATTGTATTGTTTGTGAGTTCTGTGTGGCCACTGCAATGAATTATCAAATTCAGCAGAAAAGCGGAGTGCTATGGGAGGGACAATCGGTGTCAGAATTGTTAAAAAGTTTAGAAAGTAGAGGCATTTCTGACCTTTACTTCACAGGAATCACCCTTGGACTGTTCATCTTGATCTTTACCCTGTGACATTCCTACACTCCTGTTAAGACTATACTTGTAATTTTACACTAGGCACCTGGTCCATTCAAACCTTACACTTCTCTCAAATGTCTGATCAAATTTTACATCTCATCTATAAACTGTTTTGCCTAACCAAAGCCTTCAATGAACTTTCCTTAACTGAATTTCTTTAGTTTTCCAAACTGCCTTTCCCATAGTCTAGCACGTGATTTTATACTTTTTCATTTTCCAGTTATTTCATTCATATTCAACTTATTTTTTTCTAAATAAGACTATATATATGGTCCTTAAAAACAAAAGCCTTTTCTTCTCCAGACCCAACATTAATACTGTAAATAGGAACAAAGCAGTAATTTACTAGGAATCTGCTGTATTTAATTAAATTAATATTTATCTTAAAAAATAAAAAGTAATACAAGTGTTTACTAGGGACTCAGGAGGAGGAAGGAGGGCTGAATAAATGAAGCACAGGCGATTTTCTTAAGGCAATAAACTTATTTTGTATGATGCTATAATGGAAGATACACAATAAAAACTCATAGCACTTTGCAGTACAAAGAAAGAATCTTAATGTACATAAATTAAAAAAAAAATCATTTATGAGTTTGAGGATCCTGGGATAGAATGCCGACAGTGACAAAAGAATCCAACAGTACTATAAATGTATCAAACAACTTCAGTCAAGGAAGTGGGGCAAAAGATGGTGTCCTTAGTAATTCTGAAAATGGAGTTTATAAGACTGAAGGCAAAAGAAAGTGCTTATAAGCACTGCATTCTAGTTGATAAAGTTATTTCCCATGGGATACAGGTTAACATTCTGATACTATTATACACATATATTGGAATGAAACAATTAAGTAAATAGATGGCAGACGGTGGAAACTAGATTTCTCACTGTTGGAGTAGGAGTTTACATATCAATAAGGGCAAAAGCTAGAATGACCCATATGTCATTCCAGAGGTGGAGGCATCAGTATAAACCTGTGTTTAGCTTAAAATAGATACAGATGGTTACATACAGAAATATTTATAGATATGTGTACAGGCAGCCCCCCGATAACAAATGAATGCCATTCCTAAATCTGTCTTTAAGTTTAATTTGTATATAAACTGGAACAGTTAGAACAGTTCTCAGCTAACGTCAGTTAGTCAAATGTTTGTCTTAGTATACAGTATACAGCATATCTTTCTAACACAAAACCATTAAAGAAACATTTCCAGATACACTAAAACATCTATAACTTAATAATACAATAATATTAATAATGTTTGATGCATCTTGCAAAGTGGTGCCTGTTTGTTATTACAAACCATTGTATATATCCCGAATTTTTAATAAATAGGTTTTACAGGGGTTAGTTCATAACTACAGGTTGTATGTAAGGCAGAAATTGGTGACCCGGGGACTTCTTGTATATTAGTCTGTCAGCTGAGAGAGGGACTAGAAGCAACTACACCCCAATAGCAACAACCATACCCAGCACCCAGACCTTGATTTCTAAATAAAAGGAACCAGAGCTCCTTGGAGAAATGGCTGATTCTAAAATTGCAGCAAAAAATATACAAGATGAGCCTAGAGCAGTTTATAGTGCCAGAAAGTAAGAAAATGCTAAAACAACAACACATTGATGAGAATATGTCAAAGAGACATAGGAATGAACTAAAAGAGCTCCCAATGGTCAAAGTTGGAATAATTTTGAGCAACAAAATAAAGTAATATTGGATCATAACCCAAAGTATAAAATAAATATCTATCAGTGTATACTTAGATAAACGAAAGACTGCATAAATAAAACAAACATAAGAGAAATGTATCTCAAAAAAGCCCCTAAAAAAAAATAATAATGCGCCATGACTTAGGCATTCCATACCTAGATATATATCCAAAAGTAATTAAAGTATATGTCCAGAACTAGACTTGCACACAAATTTGCACTGCAGATATACTGCCAGTATCCAAAATTTGTAAACAACCCAAATAAATAGATAAATAAATTGTGCTGCATCAAAACAATGGAATGCTACTCAGCAATAAAAAAGAATGAATCACTGATACACACAATAGCACAGATGAATCTCAAAATAACACTGAGTGAAAGAAGGCAGCCAAAAAAAAAAGTCTATATTCTATTTATATAAACTCTAGAAGACTAATCTACAGTGAAAGAAAGCAGAGCAGTAGTTTCCTGGGGGAAGGGCAGGAAGAAACGATGGCACTGAGACATGAAATATAATAGATAGCAGAAGAAATTTTATCTTACCTAGGACACTAGTAATCCATAAATGTTTGCTGAGTGAAGGTGTATCCCAGGTATTCCATTAAGTGTTTGTTGAATAAACATATTCAAGGTTTTTTCCAAATTACCTTTATAGCCTATCTCCCTCTACTGCCCTTTTTGTAACCTACCAAATCAAAGGGTATTATTCCCTCAAACTAATATGCATTCTAAGCTTTTACTCATAACCTTCCATATGCAAAAATGCAAATCAAAGTCCACTTCAATTGTCACACATTAATCCCACTTAAAATGGTTTGCACTGCATTTCATATACTATTACAGCATGTAACACATTCTGTTTTCAATTACGGCAATTTACACACGTGTCGATAACAGTGCTTTCCAAGAACATGGCAACAATGGAAATGCTCTATATCTGTACCGTCAAATACAGCAGCCATTAGCCACACATAGCTATTGAGTACTTAAGGTGGGGTTAGTGGTGAATGAGGAACTTAATTTTTAATTTTCTTTAATTTGAATTTAAATAGCCACATGGGGCTAGTGGCCATCATAGTAGATAGCACAGATCCAGAGTCTAAGTTTCTTGAAAGCACTACATATGGACACAGTGGAGTCCATAAGTGCTGCAAATGGTTAACACACTTGGCTATTAACCAAAGGTCTGCAGATTTAAGGCATCTTGGGAGAACAGCCTGGTAACCTAAATCAGTCATTGAAAATCCCATGGAGCACAGTTATACTCTGACATATGTGGGGTTGCCAGGAGTTGAATTCAAGTGGGACGGCAACTAGAATGAGCTCTGTTTTCCCCTGGTATTTATTTACCAGAGTGCCCTGTACATAGTAGGCATTTAATAAATATCTATGATTGAGTCTCTAAACTTTTTCAAAAATCTCTGCCAAAATGAAATGTAAACAAATCATGTTTAAATTAGAAAATAAATAAATCTAAGAAAGAATGTAGTCTCAGTAGTTCTAATAATAAAAAACTTACCAAAACATCTCTTACACACTAAATCCAGTATTTCCCGAAACCGGTTTGTCATTGGTGGAAGAGGTTTTAGATCAATTTTCCTGAAATCTTCTGGGCAATCATTTTTTGAATGGCCATCCTTTTTGCAGATGCTGCATACTATTGTTGGTGGCTATACAAAGGTAAAAAATAATCTATATTTATAAAAATAAAAGTTACACTTTAAGGGACTTCAATATAAGTCACAAAGCAGGTCCAAAGAATCTTCTGTACAATTCAGATAGCCTGTGCTTTCAGAAGTTAAGGAAAGCATTTTAATTAAATGCATAGTTAAATGTAAAAAACCTATTTTATTTTAGTCTACCATTTTAACTTTCTTCCTTACTAAAATGAAATTAGCTAGGATTAAAGTCCCCTAAAATGTAAGGTACAGGAAACCTAAGCAGAATAAGGAGATACAAAATGTTATGAGTTAATTCAAACAACCTAATCAAATCCTAAACAAATACATTAACCACTCAACTAAAGTAAAAGGGAAATATATGCATTATATTTTCAATATACTGAGAAACAACAAAATAGTTTATAAAGAAATTTCAAGTGGGGCCTTTCATTTCACCTAAACATCTTCTATCTTCAGTCAATTACAAAAACCCACCTTAGCTAAGTGGTTCAATTTATTGCATGACATCCACAAGACTGAACTATGGATGTAGCTCTAAAACCAATTTGGCTTCATATAAAGAATAACGTTTACCAACAGTACTAACTGAACTCGAAACCCTATACCACCATTTGAAATGTATGCCAAACGGACCACCAATGAAGTGGCTAAAAATTATCCCAAGTAAAAAAGTAACTCACCTAGTTAAAACATTTATGTTACTGAAGAATATTATCTCTTTATTGTAAAATGCCTATGGAGCTCTGGTGGTGCAATGGTTATGGCATTTGGATGCTAACCAGAAGGTCAGTGGTACAAATCCACCAGGTGCTCTGCAGGAGGAAGATGAAGCCATCTACTGCCGTAAAGATGCAGCTTTGTAAACCCTATGGGACACTATGAGTAGGAATCGACTTCATGGCAGTGGGATTCTAATTTGCCTAGATCCTAATGTTTGCCTCTTCCTTCAGTGTTAGCCTAGATATTTGCGTAGTCATATAGTCTGTCTCATCTTGGATACAGAAATTTCCATTCGTAATAGTGAACTGTGTGCTAATTAACAGTACTATAGGAATTTCTGTCAGCTCTTCAAAACATTTTTTTTTTTAAAAAGAATGACACAGTTACAAGGAAATTATAAATCACGAATTGCAATTATATAACTAAGGTTTTTCTAAAGATCTGCCATTTATTTCATCCTTTCCAGTCTATCTTCCCTAAATGCTGCAACTTAAATAACATGCTACAGATGTATCCTTAAGTTTTAAAGTATGTCAATAAGAATGATGACTTTAATATTCTACTTTGTTTACACATGATCTATATCATCATTTTTAGATTCTGAATTCTGATAATTATATTTCCATTATGTCCATTGCACCTAAAGCAATGTAACTTAGCCAAAACATTCTTTCATAAACAAAGCAGTTGTTGCTTGTTTTCCATTCAGTGGAGTATTTTTTTATACAATTTTAAAAGCTATGGTTCAGATAATCCCACTTAAATGTAAAAAAGTTAAGACTGCTACAAATTCATAAGAGATATGCCAAAATCTAAAGAGAAAACTCATTGCAGAGACAGAATCTAGACTCTTCTTTCTGAGTTCCTGATCTTATTTCTCCCTCAACTATATTTTATGTTTACACCTTCTAAAAAAAAAAAAAACAAAATCTTTACAATAGAATACTGTTAGAATTCATAGCTTTGTTTTCTCCCTTTTGGAAGAAAAATAATTATCATAAGTATAAAAAATAAGTAAAATTTAAAATATATGCTGCATGTGCCAAACTAATTTTAATAAACTATCTAATGAATACTTTGCTACTTGAAAAAAAAAATAAAGCAAATAAGCTAGTAATAGAGTGCCGAAACAAACTGGGGCTTTATATACATTCTTTAAAGACAACTAAACGCAAAAACACAAGTAAAAGACAAACATATACTGAAATATCATTCCAAAACAATATAGTCTGTCATCACAGGAGTTATTTCTGAATGTAACAACTATATAGAGAGATACAGTCATATAACAATCACAAAATTTTACATATTATTTACAAACTATATCCTACCTTGCCAGAGGTTAAAATAAACTTATCAAACACATAATATAATTCCTGGGTGAGGAGGATATCATCACCATTAGTGTCAGAAGCATCTTCTGTAGCTTTGCACTTGCAAGAGGTAGCAGACATGTCAGCGCACGCAATCTGAAGTGAATTCTGTGTTTCTAAATTTGACCTGCACCCAGTAGTGGCAGATTCACTTGGGTCAGGGGACTTATATTCATTGCAATCACACTGGCTGAGCTCCTTTTTCACATAAGTTTCTGAGGGTGATAAATCATTCTGTTTCTTAACTGATTTTGGCTCTAATTGACTGCCTTCACTGGTAATGAGAGATGAAGATTCCTGTCCATGTCCAGCCAAATCTAGTTCATTCACCAACGAAACATTGTCAGTAATACATCTCTGTGATGTACATTCCATTTCATCATATTTATCCAGTAGATCTCTTCCTGCATTTATTTTTTCTGTGCTTTCTCCAAGCAGAATGCAACAATTGGTTGCCATATTGTCCGACTTCACTGGTTTCTTATTGCTTATTTTCCCCTTTTCTTTTTTCTTGGAATCCACTGTAGACTTATTTCCACCCTTTCTCTGAGGACTGGCAAAATACCGATAAGCTGCCCTGAACCTTTCCACAACATATTCGTAAACAAGCTGGCTGTTTAAGCTCCGTGCAACATTCCTCTTGACTGAAAACGGATCTAGTAAAAAAGAAAATGGTCAATAGCTAAGTCTCTACTAGCAAAATGTATTTCCAAGTTTACACAATGTATCTTAACTGCTAAAGAGTCAGCAGAGTACATTTTCCCAATGTTTTTCTAACCTAAGATTCAATGAGAGTACCTAAAAATTAAGTAGGGGGAATACAATAACATTTTTTCCTTTGTTTCTCCCAGAAAATAAAAAGCTAAATGGACAATTGATGAGAGGATGGATGAAGAGATGAATTTAGTAAGTACAAAGTTTCAACAACGAAACTGCTGGAAAAAGAACCTATAATAATAGGACAAGCTTACACTGACTGTCATTGAATGAAGAACCTCAAGCTCCAGGACCCATTTAAAGTTCTCCCTCTTGTCATGTCTTTGTTGTTGTTGTTATGTGCCGTCAAGTCGGACCCGACTCATAGTGACCCCTCCTTGGGTTTCCGAGGCAGTATCACTACAGAAGTAGATTGCCCCATCTTCCTTCCGAGGAGTGGCTGGTGGATTTGAACCGCCAGCCTTCCGGTTAGCAGTCAAGTGCCTTAGGCACTATGCTACCAGAGCTCCCCCCTCTTGTCATAGTATTCTTTAATGTAGTTACGTACTCCTTGTAATTTAAACAAACAAAACATAACTTAAAATTCCCAAAGTGTCAAATTAAAAAGTACTGATTTTAAGATTCAGCTTTAGTAAGCTCTGGCGTAGTGCCTAAGGCATTTGCCTGCTAACCAGAATGCTGGGGGTTCAAACCCACCAGCCACTCTTCTGAAGGAACACTGGGCAATCTACTTCCATAGTGATACCGCCTTGGAAACCCAAGGAGGAGTGCTATGAGTCGGATCCGACTCCACGGCACTGATTTTTTTTTTTATTGTTAAATTACAAAAAAAGGTAGAAAGGATAGAAAGGAGAGAGGAAGGGAGTGAGGGAGAAGAAACTTAAGAAGTGAAAGTTAAACCAAAATTTAAATTTTGATCCACAGCTTAAAAATGTTAGGCTAAATAGGTTTGCTACTATCAATTATATCCTCAGCAATACATGATGATGTTGTTGTTGTTATGTGCTGTCAGGTCAGACCCGACTCACAGTGACCCCTTCTTGGATTTCCGAGGTGGTACCACTATGGAAGTAGATTGCCCAGCCTTCTTTCCGAGAAGTGGCTAGTGGGTTTGAATCGCCAACCTGTGGTTGGCAGTCAAGTGCCTTAGGCACTATGCTATCAGAGCTCCTAAACTTCTAAAAATGTTTTCAGGTTGTCAGAATTTTGATCCACAAACATAAATATAAATATTCCCTAGGAAAAAATAACAGTGCCACCCCAAAAGCAATACAAATGTTCTTTACTACTGAAGACCACTAAATAAAAGCATGAATAGACCAGTCTTCAGATTAGTAAAGCTGGAGCATCTGTTACTTTCCGCTGTATCTAAATACATAAGTTCTAAAATGCTTCTCTTAACCTCTTTCCACTTACTTCTCAAAGAAGAAAAAAATAAAGAGGAGAAATTATGCATGGAAGCTTCAGAGCTCATTTATTTATTATAAGGGAGAGAGGATGAGATGTAAGCATATGCTTAAGTATATGTCTGAGAACATCAAGGAGTTGAATTCACAATAGGTAAGGCCAGCATGGGACCAAGGGAGCAGAAGAATGTGTAGGCTAGATGAAAACAATGGGCAGAAATTCAATTTTCTATCTATAAAAGGTTGGTGAAATGCTGTAAAACTTAAATTTTTGATTACAGATTTAAAAGTCATTTTACTCTTTTCTGTATCTCCAAAGATCTTAAAGTTCTTGGGATTTGATGCAGAAATGTCTTTGTTAGCAATCAATTATTCTTTTTTTTTCTTTACCTTAGCTACATTTTACAGATGAGATACTTATAAGATACTGTGAAACTCGGTATTAAAATTGTATTTTTACATAATATGTCATAAATTTAGTCAAAAAGATCATATAGTATCAATTATATTATTCTTTTCTACTTCTTTAAATTTTCATAATTAAAAAACAGAAATATAGGTATATAGAAAAATTATCCTAATGAACATATTTACAGATTGGAGACCTGTAATTAAGTATTAATCCTATGAAATAAATATAAAATATATAATGACAACCTATTGCTCTGGTGGCACAGTGCCCAAGGCATTTGACTGTTAACCAGAAGGTTGGCGTTTCAAACCCACCAGCCACTCTGCAGAAGAAGATGGGCAATCTGCTTCCATTAAGATTTACCACCTTGGAAATCCAATGGGGGTTGCTATGAGTTGGAAGTGACTTGATAGCCGTGGGTTTCTGTTTGTTAGTTTGTTGTGATTGTTAAAAAGCAAAGATGTCACTTTGAGGACTAAGGTGTGCTTGATCCAAGCCATGGTATTTTCAGTCACCTCATATGCATGCAAAAGCTGGACAATTAATAAGGAAGACCAAAGAAGAATTGATACTTTGAATTATGGTGTTGGCAAAGAATACTGACAGGGACTGCCAGAAGAACAAACAGATCTGTTTTGAAGTATAACAGAAACACTCCTTAGAAGTGAAGATGGCGAGACTTCATCTCATGGACTCTGGACATGTTATCATAAGGAACTGGTCTCTGAAGAAGGACATCATGCTTGGTCAAGTAGATGGTCAGCAGAAGAAAGAAGACCCTCAATGTGATGGACTGACACAAGTGGCTGCAAAAATGAGCTCATACATAACAACAACTGTGAGGATGGCACAGGAGTGGGCAGTGTTTTGTTCTGTTGCACATAGGGTTGTTGTGAGTCAGAACTGATTTGATGTTACCTAACAACAGTAGCATATATGGCACTACAAAGCCAAGAGATTTATAACATTGTATTAGAAACAGATGAGGAGTGGCACACACCCAAAAATATATTCTCGAAATGAAACGCAACACATAATCTCACCTTCAATGGCTATTCGTCTTTTAGGCCAGTTTTTGTTCTCTCTTGTTAAAATATCTTTTATTCGTACACATATGACATACTCCTCCAAAGCAAAGTCCAGTGTGTAAAATTTTAGTAGCTCTAACCATAACTGTCCCAGGGATACCTGATTTGGTGTTTCCAATGTTAAAGGAGACTGGAAAAGAAAAAATACTTTTCATTTAAGCTTCACAAAACTATAGCATTATTTCCAGTTAAAAAGGATATTAGAGATCACCTTTTCAAAAACTGAGGCACACAGAAATAACTTGCCAAAAAGCAGTCAGTTTGTGACAGAACTGGGAACACAGTCCCAGTTTACTGACTCCTAAAATTCTGGGATATATACATAAACCAGTGATTCTCAACATTAGCTGCACATGAGAAAACACCTGGGAGCTTTAAAATACACTGATGCCTGGGTCCCACATCACTTTCACCTTCCACCTCCCTCCCAAGATTATGACTTAATTGACCTGAAATAACTCCTGGGTGAAGGAGCGCTGGTGGAGCACTGGTCAAGTACTCAGCTGCTAACATAAAGGTTGCTGGTTTGAACCTACCCATTCTTTGTGAGAAAGATTGGTGCAGCAGATTGCTTATGTAAAAACTTATAAACTTGGAAATACTACAAGCACTTCTACTTTGTCCTACAGGCTCATTGTGAGCCTTTTCAGAGTCAAAGGCAATGGGTTTTTTGTTGTAGTTGTTTATCTCCTGGGCACTGGAAGTTTTTAAAGCTCCCTATATGATATGCATGTGCAGCCAAGGTTAAAAACCACTGTGTGGAAAAACTATGACAGTTTCTCATTATAGTAATTACTTAAAAAATCTAGTAAATGCTCTGGGTTTTCAAAAAACTCTTTAATTCAGCAAACACTTATTTAGAACTTATGTCATTAGCATTGTGCTAGGTGCTAGGGCCACCAAATAATGAGAACCAACACTTACATATGTTTACTCTTTATCAATTATGTGTTATACATCTATCTATCTATCTATCTATCTATCTATCTATCTATATAAATTCTAACAACTTTATAGATACTATAGGGCTAGGATTTGACCCAAGACCACTTGGCTAGTGGGTTCATGTTCTTAATCACTCCACTATACTGTCAATTAAATAAAGTAAGGTCATCACTTTATAGACTATCAGCACAATGAGAGACAATTTAACAATTACAATAAAGGCCACATACTAACATGGGCCTCTAAATTAGTCTTTACAAAAGAGGTAACACCTAGATTCTGAAGGAATTAGCTAGAGGAAGACTAAAAGTGATCACTACTAGGCAGCATAAAAGCATAAACAGTCATTTATTCATTCAGTTCTACAAATACTTATTAAGTACCTACTATGTTCCAGGCAGTGTTCTAGGGACTTGGGGTATGTCAGTGGTAAAAAAATGTATCCTTGCGTTCATAGAGTATACTTTTTAGGGGAAGAAGACAATAAATAACAAACTTAATAATTAATTACACAGTATATTAGAAGAAGATAAGTAGTAGGAAAAAGAAAATGTTGTGTATGGTAAAAGGGACTGGGAGTATGAGAATAGAAGGTCATAGTGTTAAATAGAGTGGTCAGGATGCAACTCATTGAGAAGGTGTGATCTGAGCAAAGATTTGAAGAGGGAAACTGTTCTAGGAATAGGGAACAGCTACAGCAAAGGTACTAAGGTAGGAATGTGACTAGCATTTTAAAGGCAAAAAATAAAAAAGTTAGTGTGGGCTATGGTAAAGGAAAAGAGTACTAAAAGAGGATTAGAACAAAACTAACCAGTAAGGACTCTTCGGCTTTTATTCTCAATGAATGTTTTTTGGGGAGGGGCGAAGGGGAGATGAGGGGGCATGATTTGACTTTAAGCTAAAAAAAAAAAAAAAAACACCTCTGATTACTGTTTTGAAAAGAGGCTTTAGGGGATAAGAATAGATGCAGGGCAGCCTGTTAGGAGGTTATGGTAGTAATCCAGGCCAGAGGTAATGGCAGGGAGAATTGGAAAGGTAGCAGTGGAGATGCTGAGAGGTAGTCAAATTCTGGATATATTTTAAAGCAGAACTGACAGGATTTCCTGGTAGACTAGATACCAAGTGTGAAAAGAAAGAGAAGTAAAGGATGAATCCAATGTTTTTGACAGAGCAACTGAAAGGATGGAAGGCCATCAATTGAGATGGGAAAACTGCAGGTGAAACAAGTTTGAGGGGCAGATCAGAGTTCAGTTTTAGACTAAGTCTAAAAGCAGTTGGATATACAATTATAGAGGTTGAGAGACAGGTCAGGCTGGAGATTTAAAATGCATACTAGAAGGCATCAACATACAAATGTTACTTAAGAACTTTCTGACTGGATGGGATAAGTAAGGAAGTAAGTATAGATATAGAAGAAAAAGGGGATTGAGGGTTAAATGGAGCACTTCAACATTAAGAGCCTGGAGAGAAAAGGAAGAACCAGCAAAGACCACTGAGAAAGAATAACTAATAGCATAAGAGGAAAGTCAAGGATACAGTGTCCCTGAAGTCCCAATTTTTCAGAGAAGGAAGTAATCAACTAGCAAGTGTTGCTAATAAGTCAAAAAAGATTTTTTTTTTTTTAAATGACAGTTAGATTTAGCAATGAGGAGGATACTGTTGACCTAAATGATACAAATTTTGGCAGAGAGAGAGCCTAAATGAAGTGAATTAAGAGGAAACAGAAGGAGAGAAACTGGAAACAGAGATTATAGACAATTGTTTTCAGGAGTTTTACTACAAACAGGAGCAAAGAATAGGGTGGTAGCTAATAGTGGAAGTGGTATCAAGCTTTTCCTTTAAGATAGGAAAAATGAAAGAAATAAATGCTTGATTAACTACAGAATTTTAAAATAGTTAATTTAGGAGAAAGGAAGAATTGCTACAGCAATGTTCCGAAATGACAGAAAAAGATGACATTAAATGTACAAATAAAGAAAGACTTTAGACAGGAACATGGAAGCTCCTCTATGAAAAAAAGCAGACAGAAATATATGAAGGAAGATGATGGTAGATGACAGTGGGAATGTGTAGAAGTTCTTTTTGACTGCTTCAATTTTATTAGTCAAGTAATAACAAGCAAGAACATTAGCTGAGATTAAGTATCGATGGTATGCAGAGAGAGAAAATAGTCTAGGAAACAGGGAGGGTTCAATGGACTAGAGATATAGTTCAAGGAACTACAAATAATTCAATAAAGCTAGAGTATTGGTTTCACAAATGTTGACATTTCTGTAATTATGCATCTATCTACCTGAGAAGACTACAAGCTTTTAGAGGACATAATCCACCATGTCTACGGATCTTTACATCTCTAGCACTTGAGATAATGCCTGGCATATAGCAGATCCTTAATAAGTGAATATAGAGTGATTAAATAATCAAGCCATCCCCTTCTGGAACACAAGGCCTTTATTTCTCTACCAATCTGGCAATATAATTTTCATGTGCTCAAGTTTTGATCAGAGCCCAATTCCTAAAGTTAACTTTTCCTTATATAGATGAAAAAAGATACAAAGAAGTATCTTCACATGAAACAACAAAAGTCTTCAAATGAAGTATAAATTCATTAGGGAATCTCAGAACTTAAAACTAAACCAGATCAACCCCTCACTTTACAGATGAGGAAAATGAGGCCAAGAGGCTTGCTCAAAGTCAGTCAGTCCATCGATTATCAAAATAGCTTTAATAGAAGGCATTACAAATTCTACAGATATAAAAGCCAAAACAAAAAACAAAACAAAACAAAAGCTTACTTTGCCATGTTTTTCCTTCATGGCATTACTTTGGTTGTCTGTTTCTGTCTTCTTGGTATCATCTTTTGGTTGGTCTGCCTTAGCTTTGTTTTCCTCAGCAATTGAGTTTTTCTCAGTTGCACTACTTGAATTACATTCCCACTTCACAAACTTCTCTTCTACTATGCCCTTCAGCTGAAAGTCATCCATTCTTTTTGGGTCAAAGCCTTCAATCTATATAAAAAGGCATTCCAAATTGGTAGTGGAAAAATTATTGTTTTTTAAAAAAAGATGGACAAACAGACAAACCAGAATTCCCACTTAAAAATGTTTGAGCAGAGCACTCTGCAAGAGCAAACTACATATGCATGCACACATAACAAACTCATGCTTACCCAACTTCCAAGTAAGCAAGGAAGAAGAGGGGGTTTTCTTTGTTGTAGAAAAAACATCACCATTAAAGCAAAACAGTAAGAGGGGATTCCACCATCAGTTTGGGAATCAATATGGCACAACTGCAAAATGAAGAAAAAAGAAAGAACTATCACCACTTAGATTTATTTTTTGTTATGGTTCCCCTCACAATAAAAGTCACTTTATTGTTTTCTCCTAGCATAATCATTGTAAAAAGTAATAAAAAAGCATAATGAATTACCTAAATTCTCATCACTATTACATAATCATTAATATGTTGAGGCTATCTTTTCATTTGTTTCCTCATGGATATAAAGTTATCAGTATTTTAATTCAATGGAATCTTATACATAGTGCTTTTATTGTGGACACGTCTTTTTTTTTTTTAACCATACACCATCAGTGAAAAAATTTCACACGAAAAGCTATTTGAGATCCCATGGAAAACTATTACTTGATTGGCTAAACTTGTCACTTTTCTTTTTTTTTTAAATTATTATTATTTTTTTTATTGTGATTTGGGTGAAGATTTACAGAGCAAATTCACTTTCCACACAGCAGTTCACATATACTTTT